AGCGTAAGCTTTTTTACATTCCCAAGTTAAAATTGGTGTTGATTTCTTTGAAGCTAATTTTTTTACATTTTTACAAAGACGATTTTTACTTTCTCCCCCTATATGGAGTATATGGAGTATTGTTTTCCCTGTGGCCCAATTTTGATGAAATTTGGTATGTGGGTACTCAGATAATCAGTAAGATTAAAATAATCATTATTCCCAGGCGTCTTTAATTTTTTTTTAATATGATTTTTGATGGTGATTTTTTTTATAAAATAACTGAAAGATTGGACCCACGATATTGTTTAAATTTAGTATCTTATTGTTCTTTGTACACCTAACAAAACAGTACAACCCCCATTGATTTAAAGATTTACGGTTAAAAATGTAATGCAATTTTTGTGATCCCATAAAATATCATAGTTACTCCCAACGCTTACAAATGATAAAGGTTGTTGACAAGCTAATGGGAGAAAATATGCTTGAGATTGTTGATACCGTTTATTTTTGATAAAATAGCTTTTCGTGTTCGGAGATCACTAAAGTAATCCTCACTCATTAGGACTCCAATCTTCAAGTTGGGCTTAAAATCACAGCATAGGAGGAATAAAAATTTAGTATCAACTCCATTGTTGTGATTAGCGGTATTTGAACTAGGGATTCAAATGAAAAGTTTGGTGTTCCAACCAATTAACCAGTTATACAAATTAAGAATTATTAAGACAACCAATTAATAAACTTGCCACGTCATGACAAGTACTTTCGACAATGCGTCTCGAAAGCGATCCGGTTGCTAATGTTCACCGAAAGCTATCGATAATTCGGTGTTTATCGATTACTGTTCGGCCTTCACTCGAGGCTGTGTTATTGTTGACATTTAGTCACGCTAAGTATAATTTTTGTTGGACTTTTGTCAAAAAATATGTTTGAATATAGTTAAAGAACATTTAGACTAATTAAAACTGTAAGATTAGGTCTTAAGATTTCCCCCAACAAATCATTGATGGTAACAGAGGTTTATTTTATTCAACCTAACCCGTCCTCGTACAATAATAATAGTATCTGTTCACGTAGTCTTAGGGATTATGTAAATTCCAATACTGACATGTCCTTTAAATAAGTAGATGGTAATCTTATACTAACAAACTTTTTAAAAACTTATGGCAGCTAGCCTGACCATACTACTGGACCAAATAACACGCTGTTGGTACCAAATGAAATATATTTTCCTGTAGATGTGCAGAATCCCTTTATAATTCAAAATAGACTTAAAAATAATCACAAAAACTGAATTTAAAGTAATAAAAAAATAACATGGACCTAATTAATGGGTGGCCGGTGACAAAATAACAACAGAAAATCACAACAAATGGAAGAAATTCCAATCGCATGTTTTAGCTCTACAGCGTGGGGTGAAAATTGAGAAGTTTGCACAATACATAATTTTGGTCGAGTTTTCGACCACGGGGCGAGCTCTCGTAACAACACTATTTGAATCTGTATAAAAATAATATTAAGAGATTACATAAAAACACCTTAGGCGTTGACAACATCATCATAAAATAAAAATACATGTATTATGAGTTTTGTTCTAAATGTTGTATTATAACTTAGCCCACCAAGCGTTTTGTGTCAAATAAAATAATAGCAAATTATATGTTCAAACATGAATAACAAAATATAAATTTAAATAATATATTATTATTATAGAAAAAAAGTATCTTTATGAAAGTAAAATAAAATCCATAACAAACAAGGCATATGAATGAAAGCACTAATTTTCACAACGTTTTCGTACTTGTTTTCACTAACTGGTAACAGTGGAGGAAAATCATTAAAATTGCGTTGGATTGGAGTGGGTGGAATAAAAAAATTATGGTTCAAAGAGACATAGAGTAGTACAAAAAAACCTATTTATTTTTTTCGTACAACTTTAATTGAACTAAGCTCTTGACTGATTGTTAACATACACATTGACATACCATTTTCCCAAGCTCAGACTACGACATCACATAGGCCTGTTTCACATCTACCCGGCTGCCGGGTGCCGGGTGTCGTTTAACCGGCAATGGGGTGATGAAGTATATAGCACTGTTCACACATGCACGGCATGTGTCGTGACCGGTTAATCACTTGCCCGGCTGCCGGGTACTAGTCGAGGGATGCCGGGTGCCCCCTCGGCGAAGGCCGGCTGCCGGTGTCGGTTAAACAGGCCGGCGGGAGTAGTGGGTAAAGCGGGCTAATGTGACTGTTCACATACAACCGGCACCTGCAGTCTGTCGGGTGCACCAAGAGTACTTTTAGTTCAGTTGTTTGTAGTTATTGTGTATTAATTTTGGGTATTTGTTCGCAAAGTTTTGGTCATGTCGGAAATAGACCATGAACTTTAGTTCAAGAGCGGAATTATTTAAATTCAATTGAATTTTTACTCAATTTTATTTTCATTTTTTTATTTTATTACATAACATTGAATTGAATTTGACTCAAATTCAAACAGAATGAAATAAAAAAAAATCCAAATATAAATACAGTTGCAATAAAGGTTATTTCAAAGTAACATTACAATTGCTCTATTACGTTCTATTTCCATCCATACGACACACAAGTTTCACAAGCTTGAGTACAACTGCCGGAGTGCCGGTGTCGGCGTAATGTGAAAGGTGCACTCGTGCCGGTGCCGGCTAGAAGTCGGGTTAACGGCATGCCGGGTAGAAGCCGGGTGGATGTGAAACGAGCCATAGGCAACAGTTATTTTTGATTGGAGGGAATTGAACCCGTGTCCACTACAACAGCAGCGTCCCGACTACACATAACCTTGCATAAACGTAATGTTAACGATAAATTAATTGTAGTCATTTCAATAACATACATACAAATCAGTTGTCTTGCAGTATATTTATTTTAAATGCGTATTCCGGTTGCTGACATAGTGTTTAAATGTACATGTTTGTAATAGTGTCAAGGCTATGAGCGGTCTTACGTCATAGTCTAGACATATATATGTAGTAAACATATATAAAACTTGTAAATTCTCTTGATAAATGTTGAAACTGGTTAATTTAAACATAAAATAAAATTCCCTTTTAGACATGTCATCCATATTGGTCAGAAGACCATTTTCAAGATATATGTTTCAGTCAGGCAATGGAACGGTATGGCTTTTACTTTTTAAACTTGCGAAAAAATAACAGTACATTTTACTATTGAATACTTTTCACAATAAAAAAAAAACAATTATAATATGTGAAATTTTTCGAAAACAAAGTCTTAAGGTGTAAATTTGATTAAAAAATTAGAGAAGTTTCAAAATTGAACTGAAATGGATTGATCAACTTTAACATAGGCTGTAACAATTTATCACTTGAATGATATTCTTCAAAATGCTGGATACAAATCTGTACAATATTGATGTTCTATTAACAACGTAAGAACGCGATTTGGTGGTGCTTTAGAATAGGGATTTTATTTTCCTTATTTTTTGTAATGGTTTTACAACATTTTCAGAAGCATAAACAGATTTAAAGTAGGTTCAAGAAGGTTGTTTTTTTAATTTTCACTACCAAACGTTTGAAAAAAGGGAACTTTGTTTTCAACATAGATGTTGTAACTGAGTTTGTTTAAGTTTTGTTGTCCTTTAAGAGAGAGAAAAACACGAAAACACTAAAATAGTCAGTGCCTAAAATTCTGAGTTAAATTTGCATAGAGTTGTTTGGATTGTTTGATTATTTATCCGTAGTAAGGTCTCAACCCAGGGTGATGAACCCAGGTCAATATCCTTAGCTTTTGTCAATACTCAATCTGTAGTTCTTCTATCAATGACTTCCTCATATCCCGTGGAGAAAATCAATAATTTAAAAGATGAAGTAGTTTTCGTAACTACTACACTACTTTTCCACGATCTAAGGTGATAAAAACTAATAATAAATCACGAATGTGCAAAAAATCATTTGATTTCAATAGATACTGTAAAAAGTTAAGCTATGCTCAGTTAAACTCTATGGTTAATTTCTAACAACTTTATTTAGATACTCGACTTTTTTTAGGATATTTAAAACTCTTGCAACAGATATTGAATCATAATTTCGTATTTCGGTTATATTCTTGATACAAACTTTTCTTTGATAGATTAAGAAAATTAATTTTTATAATAGGGCCTATATGTTGGAACAGGATTCACAATATAGATTAATAATTTATCTTAAGATACGGCAATCCGGGAATACACGTAAGGATGGGGAAACAGTAATTTTGTTTAACCGATAACAATAATTATTTTTCGTAATTAAAGAATTAGGGACGGACTAAATACGGACAAATTCAGCAAGAATACCACCACATTAAAACATAAACTAATCCAATACGGGTTTAGTTTACCGGTACAGTACAGCAAAACAATATAAAAAAATGTACGCCTAATTATAATTGATACATTACATATTTTGTCAAAGTATTCTTATCTCAACCTTTATACTCTGCTAATTAAACGGGGTTATATTTTCAATAACTTTAAAATATGTAAAAAGAATTTGACAAAATTATTCAGGCGATTCAATGTTTCAGTTCGTTTAAGTCTCTTGTGTTCGTTATAAAACCCCTCACTTATACATTTAATTGCATCGTACACAACATTGAAAATATTTACACAAATAAAAAAAAAATCCGAGTTTTGTGCATGATATTTTGTTTTATTTTAACCACTGTTTGCTTAATATGGTAAGGGTGGTGTAATAAAACAAAATATATTAGTTTAAACGTAAAATGGTTAAAAAGTAACCAATAGTATAGCTATGTGTCGGCCCTATTTTTTCAAAGTCGGTACCGGTACCGAACCAAAACATATTCCGGTTCCCTGATGGTACCGAAGTACCGGTACCGGAATTTTTACATAGTTTTTCGGTACAATATTTTTTCCGAGAACCAATAGTACCGAAAATTACTTCTAGTATTAATTTTGTGTTAATCAATATTTATCCTTATTCTTCCCAATTAAGTTTATGTAAAAGTCAAGTTTTACTCACTCGTCGCTTCCCCGGGACCTCGGTGCTCCAGGACTGTTCCCTCGGGAACCTCTCCTGTAGCTGTCGGAGCTGGAGCCGCTGGAGTTGTCGCGCCGTTGGGGCGGAGCCGCTCTGGGTAGTTTACTCGGAGGCTTCTTGGTGGGACTCTTGCTAGGGCTCTGCCCTCTGCCCTTCATCTCTGGTCACTTCAGCTTTGTATTTCAAAGTTCATTTTTGTGTCACTTCAAGATGCATTGACAAGGTCCATTATATTGTCACTTGAAGAAGATAAGGTTCACTTTTAAACTTCACAATATAATTAATTTAAATGTCATAATAAAATTCTCTGGACTTCATTTCAATGTGTTTTTACCCCATGCAACGTCATTGAAGGTCTTTAAAAGGTCTTTAAAAGGTCTTTGTATAACAACTAAATTCTTTCTCGAACAAGAGTAAGTTATATCTATAGCTCTTAACGTGGAATACTAGCAAACACCTTAAACAAAACGGGTTGAATTTTATTTATTTGTAAAGTTTATTAGTTTAGTTTAAAAGTATAGCCAAAATAACCAAGATAAAATGTGTTTAACACAAACGTCATTTGACTCGTTTTGAATAAAAACTGTGTACAATCTCCTATTGAAAGTAATAAATTTCTAAAAATTGTCTCGACTAGATTAATTATCAAACAAGTGGAATGCATCTTTTAATTTTTGGTGTGAAATATTTGCAAATACATTACACAAAACGGGTTGGTATTTTAAAACGTTTTATTAGCTCGCTTTCTTGTCCGGTACAAATTTTTTAATTAATTTTAAACTAACTTCCCGATGAGCTAGAGACTTGAAATTTGAAACATAGCTCACAAATGGATGACAATGCAATATTATATCATTTATTTTCATATATCCCTTGGGCAAAGTCCCACGGGCTTACAAATTTTCCATGTTTATTAATTTATTAGTTTAATTTAAAAGTTACGTAGCATTTATAATTCCAACCTTGTATATTTTAGGCATACTCCCCAAAATATTTCCCAGATCATGTAAAATCATTACGGAACCATTTAAGATTACATCACGAACTGATCACAATTTATTGGCAATGACTTTCAAGATTCTGTGTTGATGGACGTGTTTTATCAAGTGGTGACATTTTACAGAACCTAAGGTCAACCATAAGTGGGTCACCCAGCGAAGGTCGGTAACGTACACCTAGACACTTATCAATCTTTTATTCTGTAAAACTTCCAACACTTCGCCATGTTTACGTCAAGAAGGTCATAAACTATGAGATTTCATGTTACAGAGTCGAAAGGTTACTTGTAGATTCCTTGAAGTCAAATCACATAATTTTGGTTATTGCAGCGTAAAAACCAAGCAAGCAGGAACAAATTTTAATATATAAACCTTAAATAATTGTTTTGCAAAAAGTTTGCATTTATCACACCAGCTATGTATTACTATTATTAACGGGGGGGGGGTTAATAAAAGGGGGGGGGGTTAAAAAACGGTTTTATAAGTGAAATATACAATATAATAATTTTTTAACTCATCAACAAGGTTAAAATGGTACTTTCACTTTGGTATTATATCGACCACATCTACCTAACCTAACCTAAGGGTGGACTATGTTTAAGGTTAGGTTAGGTTGGGAAGATTTTGTTATTTAAACTAATTAAACTCTTATTTGGAAGTCGATTTATCGGTGTGGTTGGTATTATACCAAAGAACCATTATTTTTTTTACCTATTTAGAAATTATAAATAAAGCGAATTCCATGTAATTAAGGTTTTGACTATTCATAATAGGTCTCATCATGGCAAAATGCACGTTGGAATCCCAGTCCGTCATGCTTAGTTGCTTACGCAATAGCGAATACCTAAGTATGTATCAATAATTGTATTAATATTCAATTTTTTTAATTTTTTTAACACGTTAATTTACACCTGTTATAGAAAATAAATGCTATCTAATGTTTGAGTTTCGTTAGTCATTATTATTTTTATAGTATTCACAATTATTTGACTGATTGACTCATAGTGAATTTTATCTATTTTATCGGTTTCCTGTGTTGTAATCTGACATATCATTTTAGCAACTATGATTGGTTTCTGGTCTAGTCTGCATAATACTGTTTTTGGAAATACTGGAACATCGTTGCATCAGTATCAACAATAGAATCGATTTACGATAAATCACCTTTTGCATTCATTTATAAAATACGTAGTTAGAATTTTAATTTAATGTCCATTAAACTATGTAGGCCTATACAGCGTAGAAATTACTTTGTTGGTTCATAATATTTAATAGTTATCGAAATATTTACCATTAATATTTAAATCAATAATGGCAATAAGAGTGCACGAATTGCGCAATCACGACACAACACTACAGTATTAAAATATTGATATTGTATATTAAAATAAAATTATTATAAAACTATTTAATTTTATAAAATTAGAAATTATTTCTTAAATAAAATTATTTTCATAAATAAAAATAATTTAATAGTAATTATAATTTTATTAAAATGATTATACAAGTTTTCAAGCTGTCTTGATTCGGTAAAAATAACGTTTTACTATTAACTAATGAATATGTTAGTTTGAAAAAGACCACCAACAAATTTACAACAACTATCTCACTCTGTTTTAAACAGTAAATATATATTTTTTAATGTTACTCGTGCACAAAATATGTTTGTGACAACCCTTTAAAAAATTTATTTTATATCATCAACCCTTGCTATACCAATGCTAAAACTTTCAAAGATATAAATTTTTACACTACGTCTTTATTATTTATCTTCACAACGCATCAGTGATATGTTTAATCACAGTTGGTTGTAGTTAGGATACATTATTTTACATACTATAAGTTAAATTTGTGGGTAAAACTGAAGGGAGTGTAATACCCATTTTACATATACTTATAACCAAGTGTCTCGTGACTTTCAAATAAAACTATTAATTTTATCAATTTTAAAAGTATGGATGTTCACGGTTTGTGGAAATATAGCAAAAATTATAAACATATTTTCTGCACAATTTTTTGTTTTATCTCTTAAGCTATCAATAAAAACTGTTTATATTTAACATTCACAATTTTTTACAGCAAACAAAATCGTCTTTAAACATCGGTGTTACCTCTATCATAAATCATAATCCATATCTATACAATAACACTACAATTCGGTCCCCAACAAATCAAAAAAATGCAAAATTGACCGAAGTTTCGTTGTGGTTTGTGAGGCCGTCATCAGGGGTCGCGCACTGTCCACTCACCGCCGTTGTCCACCACCGACTGTCCTCACCGCCACAACCCGCCCCATGTTGAGGGGGTGGCAGAATGGTCGATCGCCCCCCGTCAACCCTGTCGGGTCACTCTGTGCCTAGGTCACTAACTTGATGACCCTTGGCGTCTTCGCTATTAATCACGTGAATCGCAAACTCCTCCAGGGTGAAATTTGGCACTTTTCGTCATAGGTTTACTAGGTTTACGTGTCTTTTTACTAACCCCCTATACATAGTAAATTGAGAAAGTATTGTTTTCGACCAAATTTTCGAGTTTGGGTTTTGGGAGGAAATATCCGTTTATGATCCCCCTGAACCAAAAAAAAAAAATGGTTTTCGAAGTGATGTGTCTGTATGTGTGGATGTGTACAGAGCTGCATACCATACCTATGTTCGGATTTTGATGAAATTAGGTATGTGGGTACTAATCCAAGGTATCTCCAGTTTTTTTATCATTTGAATTAATAAAGGGGGTTTTCCTATTAAACCAATAAAATTACGGGAGTATCAGTATTTTCTCCAAAGCGGCCCGAACGGTTTTAACTAAACGGTTATGAGTACAACACCATTGGAGACTATATGGTGTATTATGGTACTTTAAACTCAAACAAAAGGATGCAGCCACCATTGCGCTACAAATAACGGTTCAAAAGCTATTGCACAAGTTATTACTCCCACCGCTTCCCCACGAAAGGGGTTCTTGACAACCTAATGGGGGAAAGTATGCGTCATATTGCTGATACCTTTTATTTTATATTAAAGTGTTCTCATGATTTTAGGTGTTATTTAGTGATTAAAAAGTTTGGTGGGAAATATAGGAGGAGCACCTTGGTTAAAACATGTGCGATTTCCATTCAAATGGGCGTGTATAACTGAAAATTAAGTCTAACGCAGTAGGGTTAATAAATATCATGTAAGCCTTTTCAAAGTTAGCAGTTGTTATTCATAAATCTTTTCCTTAAGGTAGAGAGAGGATTTTTAAAGCTTTATATCTTTTCGTGCTAGAATTAAATGAGTACACAGACGAAAAACTTATTTAAATTTAAACGTCTAATGATTTTGTATATACTACTGTTTGAAACCATCTTGACAGACTAATTCGAAGAATATTGGAGTCTGTCGGTTGAAGTTGTATTTCCAAAAATCTTTCCAAGGAACATTATGCTAAAATCTCTTCTCTAAATAAAACACATTGGAATGTAAAAGAGAAGCAATTAATCTATTTCCATGTATGTAAATATTATTTAATGAAATTATAACGTTACAACGTGTTAAAAAATAACAAATTGGCTCAAAAAATATAAACACGTTCATATTTTCTTATATTTACATCATTGCTCTGATTTTCGAGTGATTACTTATGAAAAAAATAATTAAACAGCTCAAGAGATCAAAGCTCTATTTTAAGATTAATATGTTCGTTTGGTACTAATATATGTACTAGGTAGTATACTTAATTATCTTTTCAGTCTTTAAATTTATAAATGAAAACTTCAAAAAACAAAATTATATATTTATTTATTTTTTTAATTTATTTGCTACAATTCAGCGTTAACATTTTCCGATAGGAGACCATCATGTTTTTTTTAATATTCAAAATTAGACTCTAATATTTTCAGTATTTATCTAATAGTTAGTTTTTAAGCCTGCAGCTATCACATACGTATGCATTTAAACACATCTTTATTAGCTCGCTTTCTTGTTTGTTCGGTATAAATTTTACAAACGATTTTAAACTAACTTCCCGATGAGCTAGATACTTGAAGCTTGAAAATACGACAATGTAATATTAAATCATTTTATTTTTTATATTTCCCTTGGGCTACGCTCTATGAGCTTCCAAAGTGTCAATGTTTACATTTTGGAAAAATGTAAATAGTCAAATATATCTATTGAAATAAG